CACTAATTGGGTTATTTACTTGACTCGGCCGTTTTACTTCTTATTTGAGAAGTAAGTTTGAGCGTATCATATATGAGTGAAGTTTTAAATGTTACCCTTTGTATATACGCAATAATTCATGTGTTGCCTTATTATGTGTGTAATGCCTCATAGTTACCTAGTATGGATTGAGTCCTTCGTATTGTATTTGTCCTAGAAGTGAAGGTAGTGTGTTTACCATGTAGGGTAATGATGTTTGTGTGAATGACCTAGAAGTTACCTTACGTTAGTGTTGAATGAAAAGAAAGAGGCCTTATTGCTAAGTCTCTTCTATTGTTTCCCCTAAGGTTGTTATGACCTTTGGTATTCATGGTATAGTTGAGACCTTATGTGATTGGGTAGTTTGACCTAAGTTGATTGTTATGGATTTCCGTTGGGTGTTGAACTTAGAGGCATGATTATACTTGGGGTATTTACCCTTGATATTGAGTTATTAGACTCCTTGATGTGAGATTAGGATTGAGAACCCTCAGTGATGTTAAACCTTCTTCTGTGAGGAGTGTATAGGTTAGTTTTAACTTGCCTTGACCTTGGTGCTTAAGGGAATGATGTTTTTAGGCTAATTCCAAGTAGGGGATAAATATGCATAGAAAATTACGGTTTGAGTGCCCTTGATGTTCATATGTTGAGTTCCTCTGAACTTCTTTATGTTCAAATTCACTTTTAGGTGATATTGATGGTGTGATGTGCTTATCCATTCAAGTTGGTAAGTTGACGGTATTTTTTTATTTTTTTTATTTTTTTAATACCCTTGGAGGGGTAGGGGCTGAGCGACACCCCCAGGCCTTAACATTAATCAAAAACAAAAATATACAAGGAGGGGGGCATAAAACCAAACCTCCAATTTTAAGATGGTTTAGAGTCGACTTTCCTAATGAACTTCGACTCCTCCCCTTACAATTGAAAGATGCAACCTAAATATTAATAAACTAAGGAGAGGACTCCTCTCGTTACAATGTATCTAGGAAGCGTAAATTTGGGAGACTCTCCCTTTACAATAAAAATCATATACAAAAAACTAACTAGTCTATATCTCTATTCAAAGTAGCTATATTACTTGGATATAGCAAAATTGAATAGATACAACCTTCAAGGAGGTTCAAAAATCTTTTTAGTCTTCTTCCTTCTAAATGTTGGCATGTTTTGCAGGTCCATTTGGTAGTATGCTTGGGTTTCTTTGGGTAATTGATTTGTGTTGAAGTAGACTTGAGGTGTTGTTGTGTTGTTACTGTGCTTTGCGAGGGAATCTGCCACACTGTTTGCTTCCCTGAAAATGTGAGAGCAGCTGAAGTACTGTGTTTGTGAGATAAGTTGCTGGATTTCCTCTACCTGATTGGCAACAGTCCATTGAGGGGCTGTTTTCTTGGTAATCCACTGAACCACCAACTGCGAATCCAACTCCATTTGAATATTTTTGTAGCCTAGTTCTAGTGCCCACGACAGTCCAAGCTGAGCAGCCTTAGTTTCTGCTTGATTGTTCGATCCTTCTCCAAGAAATACTGAGTATGCCATCACCATTTTGCCTTCTCTGTTCTTGAGAATACCTCCAGCCCCTATCTTCCCTGTGTTAATGACAGCACTTCCATCTGTGTTGAGTTTGATCCAATGCTCTGGAGGTCTTTTCCATGCTACCATGTATACTTTGATGGTATGTTTGCACCTTTCGCTTGTTTGGAGTAATGTTGTCCATCTTGCAGGCCAATTAATTTGGGGAAAGGTATTTTCCAGCATCTTGTATGTATCTTTATAGATTGCATACTTGACCCGGCTGATATTAGTGACTTTGCCTCCGTATTTACTTGCACACCTGTTCTGCCATAGGTTCCAACAGATGAAGACTGGCGTAGCTTGTAACAGTAGTTGATGGCCTGCATTTCGTGTCTTTGTTGTCCACCATTGTCTCAGCCTCGCCTTCAATGTTAGTTGTCCAGGTTGTAGTCCTGCAGTAGCTGCAAAAAAATTCCAAACAGCAGTTGCAAAAGGTCCTGAATTGAAGGTGTGGTCAATACTGTCCATGCCTATTCTGCCAAAACAACAATAACAAGGTGAAGGCTCAATGCCGAAGTTAGTTAACTTATCATTTGTAGGAAGTTTGCCTTTTAAAATTCTCCAAAGAAGAAAAGAAGATTTAAAGGAATTGATTTGTGCCATAAAAATGAATTTAACTTGTTCTTAGTCTTTTTCTCCCTGATCTGCTCCCATGTTGTTGAACAACTTAATTGACCATGACTGCTGAGAGTCCAAACAGGCTGATCTGGTAGTTGTTGGTGATGAGGAATCTGAGTGTCTAAAATGTTGTTTAGTTGACGGTATTTAGTTTCTTTTAAATGGGTTTACCCTAAGTGAGGGGTGATGGTGTGAGTAGTAAGCTGCTAGATGTACCTATCTTATCCTTCTATTCTTGCATGAGTTTGAAACCAAAGAGTTCCTAGTAGCTCGTTCATGATAGGTGTCTTGCATAAAAGTATAAGTTGCATATTCCCCATAGGTTATGCATGTATTAAGTTACACTATGTTAGGCATGTTTAAAGATCTTAAATGGAATGAAAAAGGATTTTTGATCAAATCCTAAATTTCTCATGTTTGTTGTGTATCTTGATATGATAGTTGTGCAAGTAACTTCATGAGATGATGTAAGGAACATGTTTGAAGTCACTCTTAATTTTTGGTGTTCTAAGACATCAATGAGAAATTGATTCCCCTTAAAATGAAAAATGATGGGTCGCTTGAAAATTATGTGAGTTTTATGGTTTGGGAAGCATAAATTTAGGCTCACTCTAGAAAGGTAAAAGTATGTATAGCTTGTGTCCTTGTGTGTGCCTATAAATTATATGATTTTCCCAAATTGATGTTTTTTTATGAAAGCTATTGTCATGCTAGAAAATGAAATTTTACGAAATGACTTCCTATTGATGTAATATTTGTGGTGTGACATACCATTCTGACTTCAATATGAAGGAAATATGAGCATCCCTTGGTTCAAAATTAAGAAATTCTCATTTAAGATGAATTCACCTTTGTGCATTGCATGTGTAAAATTTAATGAGACATGTAAGTGTGTTGAGAGAATGAAATTCCTCCTTAAAAAAATTAAGAATGGTAGGGTTGAGTATGGCCTTAATGGCATTATGTCAAAATTATAAAGATCATTGTCAATCTACATTACTCATGATCCCTGTGCGTCTAGTGTGAGTGCTTATTTTCTTCTTGAGTAGTTTTTAATTAAGGTGCATACATCCTCACATGTTCCTTAAAAGGTTTAAATTAAGTTTAATAAGTGTTTTAACGTATCTATACTTAATTTGATATCTTTTGGACGTCAAACATCCAAGAACGTTCGAGACGTTCGAATGTTAGCCCTTGAAATGTGTATGTGTGCGTGTGTTCTAGACTCCCTTAGTATGTTTTATGTGTTTTTTGATGCTCAAATTTATAGGAGAGGTTCCTAATATGTATACTAGAGTATTTGAGGTGGAAACGTCCGGTCAAAACTCCCCAAGGACAAACCAAAAGGTCCTTGAGGAGCACCCAACCATAGGCCAACAAGCTGCATATGGAAGTAGCTTTTGCTCCTTGGTGAAATAAATCTTTGTCTCGTACATGGTAAACCATAGGTCAAAAATATTGTCCCCATCGCGAAAACAATGCAGACTCAACTTCCCCGAAAGTTATTTTCAAAAAAATTATGCTGGAACACCTCTGTGACGATGAAAAATTCAAAAATAGAAGTACAATTTTACATGTATAATAGTCCAAATAAGTGTGGGGTGTTTTGATAATATAGGGAGACGGTTGTAAACAAGATTTAACCAGTTTTAAAAGATAACACCCCAACACCTTTTAAAAGTCAACACCCTCAACCCGAAACCCTAAACCCTAAACCCCATCACTTCCCCATTTGCTGAATTTTTTCTCTCTCTAATTTCTCTCACTAAATGCACGCTCTCTAGGAAAATACAGTTGCTGACTCCAACGGCTAGTTCAGCCAAATTGAGACGTAGCGTGAGCCGCCAGACAAACGCCATGAAAGGCGCATGATAGAGACGAACACAATACAACAAGAATCACCTATAATTCATCTCACAACTCTTGGAATTCGCCTTTGAAATGAAGCGATGAACAGTGCAAACTCCAAGAGGGAATAGCAGGGAATCGTAAAATTATTTCCCCTAAATCCACAACGAAAATCTAGATGATAGAGATATGGGGGATGATTCTCCTAAACAATGGCAACAACTTACTGAAAAATGAGGTAATTTGGCCGTGCCAGTTTAGAGAAATGAAAAGGCGACTTCTGGGGAAGTCGCGAAGAAACATCCTGAAACTCGAGCTCAAATTCGATTGACTACCCAAGTGATTCGAGGTGAAATACTTACAGGAGTTTGTTCCCCTTTGAAAGGCTCACCTCCCACCACAAATTCAGCCCCAATGGATACTTAAGTCACCGGCGACAAGAATTTCGCATCTGGAGAACTCGCGATAAACGTTGAAACTCGACCTCAAAATCAAACATATTCCCAGATGATTTGAGGTGAGATATCTACTGGGATTTATTCCTCTTGGAAAGGCGCCTCTAATGAATCACTTTCCACCCCAAAAGACGATCAGGCTGCCGGCGACAAGCATTCATGCTGCTCAAATAGCAGTCGAACGGAAGTATTTGAAGATAGAAAAAATGAAGTAGAGTCTGATAATAAAGTCGTGCACAACACTAACACACTCAATAAAATTTCCCACGACTATAATTCTAGTTGAAATTATATGCATCAAAAGCCAAAAATTCAACATGTGGAAGGGATTGGAAGAGGCACAGCTGGGGATCCAAGCAACATTAAACAAGGCACACCAGTAATGCAGCCAAGAAAAGAGATTGAAGTAGAAAATTCCTTGCAATTATCCTTTGGAGTAAACGCAACTAATAACACAATAACTAAGGAAGATCACTCACAGGCATTTATGCAAGATTATTCGAATGATCATGGCACGGATGTGAGCATATTGAAACAGAAGCAAATTGGTATGCAAGAGGAGAGGAAGCAACAATCACGTATGCAAGCCAATCAAGCTATGGTACAAGAACATGAGTAGAATGACAAAGGCCAAAGGTAGAAGGAACAGCAATCAGGTAAGTATCCTAAACCCAACCTTAACAAAATCAAAATTCTAATTATTCTAGTATTGGCCATGTGCAAGAAAATGCCATGGGAAATGTAGATAATGATTCTGGTAATATAATACAGAAAAATATAACTAATATCACGACCCAAAACTGGATCGCGACTGGCAACCACACTTACCCTCCTATGTGAGCCAACCAACCAATCTAAACCTTAACATTTCGAACATAATAAATAGAAAACAATGCGGAAGACTTAAAACTCATTAACAAAATCAATGATCAACTTCTATAACTCAAAACTTATCATTATCCCCAAAATCAGGAAGTCATCACCACAAGAACATCTATGATCAAATGACTAAACTAAGAGTATTCTAAAAACTAAAACAAGTAAAAGCTAGTCCATGCCGGAACTTCAAGGCATCAAGACATGAAGAGGAAGACCCAGTCCAAGCTAGAAGCATTAGCTCACCCTGAAATCCGGTGTGATTGAAGACTGGCTAGAATTACTGTTGAGTTGAACACGACGGTACGTTTGCTGCACTCCACAATTAAACAAGAAGAAAACATAAAAGTAGGGGTCAGTACAAAACACAGGTACTGAGTAGATATCATCCAAATCAAAATAGAAATCAATATATATACCAAGTAATATCATAAGATCAACTATGATACTCAACATGTAGCAACAGCAAGTACTATATCATTAACAATTACCGTCAAGTTCATACATGAGGACTCAAGCCTCAATACCATACTCATTTGGGAATTATGTTCATTCGATTGAGTATATTAACATCTTTCAAGATTCATTATCTTAGTTTCTCTTGTGTTGGTACGTGACACTCCGGTCCCTCATATTCATTAATCCTCTTGTGTCGGTATGTGACACTCTGATCTCCTACTACTATGTGTCGGAACGTGACACTCCGATCCCCTAAATCTATGTCTCGGTTCGTGACACCAGATCCCCTAAATGTACGTGTCGGTTTGTGACACCCGATCCCCTAAATCTACGTATCGGTTCGTGACACCCGATCCCTTAAATTTACGTGTCGGTTCGTGACACCCGATCCCCTAAATCTACGTGTCGGTTCGTGACACCCGATCCCCTACTCTCCTTCTATCAATTCATCAAGCCTTCTTTCTTACCAAGCCATCATCAATCTCTTTATTTTAGTTCATCACGCCTTCTTTTATACCAAGGCCTCATCATTAACAAAGAGATTAGGGTTTTACAAGATTTTGGATTCAATAACTTCATCATGCTTATATAATCACAATTATATAATTACATTCATGCAAGAATACAATTAAGCACATAGCAGGGTTTACAATATTATTAATACATATCATTCTCTATTAAGAGTTTACTACGAATATCATAAGAGAAACCATAACCTACCTCCACCGAAAAGTCGTGATCAAGCAAGCAATTTTTCAAGCTTTGTGTTTTTCCTCTCGTTCGATCCTCTCTCTATCATTTCTCTTTCCTTCTCTTTGTTCTTTCTATTTTCTTTATTCCAACCCTCTTTCTTTTACCCTAATTAGTATATAATTAAGAATAAAAGATGGCAATAATAACCCACTAATTAACTTAAGATTACCTCTTTTAACCCCCAAGTAATTAGACTTATTAACATTAACCCTCTAACTTTATAATTATTGTAGGAATAGTCCAAAAACGTCCCTTAAAACGTATCAAGAAATCCGACCCAGACTGGGAATACGCAGTCTGTGACAGCCCGTCGCGCCTGTGACGGTCCGTCCTGCTACCCGTAACAGAGTTCGGAGACTCAATTTCTCTGAAGAGTCTGTGACGGTCTATCACACCTGTGACGGTCCGTCCTGCCATTCCATTACGAAGTTCAGAGAGTCGATTTTCAGTACCCAATTT